GTAGTAGTAGTAGTAGTAGTAGTAGTAGTAGTAGTAGTAGTAGTAGTAGTAGTAGTAGTAGTAGTAGTAGTAGTAGTAGTAGTAGTAGTAGTAGTAGTAGTAGTAGTAGTAGTAGTAGTAGTAGTAGTAGTAGTAGTAGTAGTAGTATAGTAGTAGTAGTAGTAGTAGTAGTAGTAGTAGTAGTAGTAGTAGTAGTAGTAGTAGTAGTAGTAGTAGTAGTAGTAGTAGTAGTCGTAGTAGTAGTAGTAGTAGTAGTAGTAGTAGTAGTAGTAGTAGTAGTAGTAGTAGTAGTCGTAGTAGTAGTAGTAGTAGTAGTAGTCGTAGTCATAGTCGCAGTCGTAGTAGTAGTAGTAGTAGTAGCAGCAGTAGTAGTAGTAGTAGTAATAGTAGTAGTAGTAGTAGTAGTTGTAGTAGTAGTAGTAGTAGTAGTAGTAGTAGTCGTAGTAGTCGTAGTAGTCGTAGTAGTCGTCGGCGCTGCAGCCTCAGCAGCAGTGGCAGCCGCGGCATAATCATACCAAGCATCCCTCCAGGCGGTTCTGCTTGTGTTTGTTGACAGCTCGAACGGCCCCCCCCAGCCCTATGCCGGCCCTGCTACAGGACGACACGGGCGACAATCTGGTACCGGTCTTGCGTAGTGCTCGCAGAACCAGGACGCACTCCCCTGGCAGGCAGCGACGGCTCGGGCTAAAAGGGGTTAGGGGTTCTCGGAGCAACATGACATTTGTTGTCCTCTTCACTGTTGCCTGCGCAGACCTCGTGGTTGGCAGCGAGATGTGACAAAGCATGAGCGTTAGATTTTGTCTCCGTGGATAATTAGTGTTGTCCCGATGTGTCCTCTTTGAAGGCCTTAGGGTGTCAGATGGTTTTCCTGTTTGTTGGCCGGCTGAGTTTTTGTGCTGTGGCAACAGAATGGACTTCTACACGGCTGTTCGACATATGATCTCAGGACGAAGTTTGCCTATGTCTCTCTGCTGTACTGAGGAGGTTGTCCACCGTCAACTCCACTTACACATTGAGATGCACCTTCCCTCGAAATTGGCTTTCTTCATCCAGACCCACCCTCGTCTTGACTCGTCCGGGACGGGTCCTTGAGTGCTGCGTTCGGTCACTACCACTCCAGCGATGGTCACAACAATGAATGAACGAATGTCATTGCCATTGCGTCTGCGAGTATCACTGCTCCTCTCACCTTGTTGTGATAGAAAACCCCTCTGATTTTGCAGCCTCATCTACATTAAGGGTTTAGGGTGCAGGGTGAGGTCAACCCGAAGTCCTTCCCCTATCCATTGGGCATGCCTTGCATTTGTCAAGCGCTGCTTCTGCACTGCGTGGCAAATCCTAAACCCTAAACCCTAACCCTCCACACTCCAAGGCCCTGTAGGGCTCAAGGGAAGCCCTAAATCCCAAAGTTCAGACCCAAAGGGCCCCCAAACCTCGAATTCCAGCCGGCGGCCCTTGAATGCTAAATCCCAAACCAGTAGACCACAAAACCCTAAACCCACAAAAAGGGGTAAATCCCAAACCGCTCCTGCTTCAGGCAGACGACGGTAGTCGAGCCGGGACAGGAAGCAGGCCACGAGGTGCAAGTTCCCACGAGTCATGCTTTGTGTTGGTCTCTCTTCCATTAGGGTTTGAGGGTTTTGGGGTTTAGTTTGTTTTTGGGGCTTAGGGCTTTGGGGTTTCAGGGTCGTAGTGCTTATGCGAGAGGAACTTGAATGGGTCATCCTCGGCTCTTACTAGTGGTCACAAGTAGCACCATGGGTCGTATTGTACTGGAAGATGTGGAGCCATCAATTTGACAGTGCACAATTATATATAATACGGAGCCCCTAAAACCCTGTTCTAACTATGTAGGCCCCTGCATTACGAAGGGGTTCATGATGTAGGCTTCGGGGTTCAGGCGTTGTTCTTGTCTCAGGCTTGGGTTTGTCTTACGTACCAGGTGAGATTCCGGTTTTGTTGTTTTCGGAAGAAAGGTTTAAGTGCAGGGGTTGAGGTGGAATACTGAAAGCTTCTCTTCAAAGCGTCTCGGTTGGTTGAGGCACCTTTCCAGCTGAGGGCACACGCCTCGTACAGTGGCGAGGTCTGGGCTCACTGGTTGCAGAAAGGCAAATCTATACCTTGCGTCACAATTATTGGTATAAGATTTATAAGTTGATCTAGCTGTGTATATCTATATACATAAATACCGTAGGAGATGCTTTCATGCAATAATTACTTCTTTGCATGAACAAACATGCACATAATTGTAGACATTTGCAAACGAAGCCGTGTGCAAAGGGGCGAATATTTGGAGCACGCGCTGCAGTGACATTAGCCAACGGGAAACAGCCAGCAACCCTGAGTCATAAACCCAAGGCTCCAGACTCCTAAACCCTAAAGCCCAAACTTTAAACACCCTTAAACCCTTACCCTTGAACCCTTACCTGATGATGCAGCCCAAACCCTAAGCAAACCCCCGAAGCCTGTCTTCCTGCAGCACAAACTCAAAATCCCTGTCTCAAACCTGCTGCATGTGGCCGAAAGGAGGAGCGAACCCCGATCCTGCGCACGAACCGAAGGCACCGAACCTTGTCGCCAGGATCCAGGCGCAGCTCTCTTCAGGGCTTCTTCGGCTTCGGATCTTTCGAGAGTTTCCTATGGCCAGGAACTTTGGGGTGTTTTTCGTGGGGTTTGGGGTTCTAAAAGGTTTATCAGGTTCCTGGCATTGAATTGGGGCCTAAAATCCGGGATGTGTGTGGACTTGTACTCTCAGACGGGCGATTGAGGACACACAGCAAGGGTATACGAACATCTGTCGCATCCATACATATCTTTATGTGTGTAACTGTGTGTACGTACATATGCATATATATATATATATATATGTAGATTGATAGGTCGGTATATAGGTAGATACTTACACTTAGACAGGCAGATGGACAGATAGATACTGATAGATAGGTAGATAGGTAGGCATATAGTTGGATAGACAGGTAGGTACATAGATTGATCGACATATATGCACTCATAGGTGTGTATACATGTGTGTATGTATGTATGCATGTATGTATGCATATGTGCATGCCTATGTACATGCATATATATATATATGTATATATATATACACAGATATATGTATATATATATATATATGTGTGTGTATACATCCTGTATGTATGTATGTATGTATGTATGTTTGTATGTATGTATGTATGTATACGCCACAAGTGAAGTTTGTGTACTTTGTTGGTATTTCAATTTCACGCTTATTGGCAGGCTTGGCCAAGAGCCTGCTCCGCGAGATGTGGATGAGGAGGAGCGGGCGTTGCAGCCCGTTTTACCAGTCTTGAGGAGTAGTACGCCTGGTAGCAACCGTTCTGGTACCACCTGTGCTAACTCTTGAAGCTGCGTTAAGACAGCCTTGCCGACTGTCCGAAGAGAGACTCTCGTGGTTTTGCAGAGGCTGAGGATTGGTGTTGGCGGTTCGGTTGTTCTTCTGGCCAGAAGCCTTTGCTTCTTGCCTATCTGCGATCCCCTCAGCCTTATCAAGGCCGCAACCTATGACCAAAAGAACCGCTGCTCGGAATGTGAAGGTCAGCTCTGGAGTTTCAAAGAGTCATCTCTTCCGGAGCATTGCAGGAAGTCCCGGCGAAGCCGACGCCTCGCGCGAACCGGAAGACCCAGCGGCTTCCGACATTTGCGAGTCCCAGTTCGAGGCCATTGGAGTTGCAGCTCTGTCTCTGCATGTAAGTCGCAAGACACTGGAGCCCAAATTCCGGCTTACTGCTCGGGCAGCAGAGACTCTGTAATGCTATAGGTGCTTGCGTAGCTTGCCATCGGCCGCTCTGTGCGCGTAGGCCTGCAGGTCCAAGCTTACCTAAATGCCGCACCCGAAACATACATCGGTTTCATTCGCCCAAGCTGAGAACCTTCTGCCCGGGTCGAAGAAGTCGAGATGTGCCTACCGTTCAACCTTCAACGCGGCACAAAGACTAGTGTCACCTTGCACCTGCATGCAGGGAGGCAGGCGACGCTCCCCATTCCTCACAGGACCGGATGGGTTTCTCCGGGTGTCCAGTACACTTTCTGGCTTTTCATACTTGGGCTCCAGACTGTCCATACTAATCTAAGGCAGGACCTTTCCGGATATCCACTTTCTGTTTTCTGTCGGGAATCCTCCCTGAGCTGCACTCCCAGCCCTTCAATCGCTCACCTCTGGGGGCCTCAGTTGGTTGACTTGGGTGGTGGTGTGTATTGCACAATAACTATATCGGGATATCAAGGAGTACGATTGTTTATTAGGAGTAGCTGTAGGCTCCATGATCTAACCTCGCACTGCAGCTGTCGGTGCGTTGGGGTTGAGGGCTCAGGGCTTCGGCATTGAAGAATTGTTGTCTGGGTTTCAGCATGTAGGGGTAAGACTGCGCGCGTAATCACAATCATTAACATCAGTTTTGCTGTATCGAATCACCCACGCATTGTTCAGAGCCCCGCTCAGGATTTCATGGTGAGGGTGCCTCAGATCAAAATACCACGAAGCAAATCCTGATGAACATTCACTTGCCATGTTGATAATAAGCCTATTAAGAACGTTAGTTGCACGGCTGTAAACAACAGGCTAGTCACCAGTCTTCGTCGTCGTCTCGTAGTGGCGGCAGTGGTGATGGTGGTGGTGATCGTCCGTGGCGGGCCGTCATCATTGTCTAGTTACGGCATCGTTGCCGTTGCTGTTCTCGCATGCAGCAGCAATGTTCACCATCTTCTTCATTGTCGCCACCGTCGTTACAAACTTTCCCGGAGCCACCATCATCAGCACCGTTACCATGACCATCACCATCATCATCGTCATCGTCATCGTAATCATTTTCACCATGGTAATCATCTTCTTTTCTGCGTAGAGGCGTAACCTGCGAAACCCAACCCTGGAACCCACTAAACCCACTGCATGTCCTTTTATCCCAATACTAAATCCTACGCAGGCGTCGGAAAGCACATCCAAACTCAAAAGCACCAAAACCATGGGGCCACGTTCGCTGGCAGAGGCAGCGAGGCCACGCGATAGGGTACATGCTTTGGGCTTTGGTGTTCAGGGTCATCGAAAGTTAGGAGCTTAAGCCCGGGAGGGCGGGTGAGCAGGGGGTTCTATGCCGCTTCGGGTAAATCAGCAGGCTTCTGTTCAAAGCCCCCAAACCGGGGACTGGGGACGTGTAGTTAAGAGGGCGGAATTTGAGGAGCGCGTGCGTGTGGTTTTTCATTGGCGAGGATTTTTGTGGACACAAGAGCGGTTGGACTCCACGGAATTGGTAAAACACATCTGCAGAACCAAGGGTCTTCTTAACAAAACAGCTCTTCTAAACCAAACATTGACAACGGAAAGGTAAGCAAGCGATCAAGTATATAAGCTAAAGCACAGCGGGTAGCAGTAACTCCAAAACAATGCATGTATGACCTTGCATGACTTTGTAGGTTCTAGGTTGAGACTAACCTTCCGTGTCGTGCTAGGAAGCCTTTTGTTGTTTGTTGATGCATCTTTCTTCCCTCCCTGTGTCTCAGGAAGGCTGTGGCGGCCGTTGATGCCGAGGACGGCCACAAATACTCGAGCCTATGTCCGGGGCAGGGTTTCGAAGATTCATGGTGAAGGGCTGGGTGTTCACGTGGGGTCAGGGTTTCCATTAGCTCAAGTGTTATAAAGTGGGCTTGCGATTGGAGGAGGCCTCCTTAACATGAAACTTAGCTTCTCTGAAATCTCAATCTTCAGATCCGCAACCAGACCGGAGCGTTTAATTTAAATTGCACGACAAGGCAAGAGTATGAATCCTGAAAGGCTCACATACCCTGTAGAGTCTCCGAATATTCTGAACTGCAGGAGGAAGAACGTGCAAAGAGCTCGCGCGCACGCATGCCTCTCAAAGCAGTGGTGGACTTTGCCGGGATCCCAGGGTCACATTTTGGGAAGTTCAGAGAAATGGGGAGGAGTTCAACTTGCAAGACTGGATTCGGCTTTCTGGCTCTGTGATGGGATAGGGTTTAGGGTTTAGGGTTCAGGCTTTAGGGTTTAGGGTTTAGTGCCTTTTAGGGTTTAGGGTTCGCTTGGTGTCGGAATCTGCCTCGTTCCTGGCTTCAGGCAGGTGTCGCCAACGCTGCAGCCAGTGCTGCGCGCAAGGCTCGTCGACGGACCACGATAGCGAGGCGCTCGCAGGGTTTGTGGAGACTACAGAACAAGAAAGGTTGGGCTGATCTGTGAATGGAGTCCAGATAACTCGGGGTTTAGGGTTTGTAGGGCTGAAAGAGACTCTACACCCTAAAGCCCGAAGCCCCCAGCCCCAACTAAACCAGGCCTTTAGCCGATGTAAATCTGGAGTCTCTGAGCGCAGAGTTGGGATTTCAGTAAAGATGACGGTATGATAGTCGGACTTTGGGTTACCCTATAAAACAACAATAAGCCCCGAAACCCTAAACCCCAGTCTTCCCTCTGTGGAGGTCCCATAAGGGACATGTGATGAAGACCAAGGGAGCCTGATACAGATAATGGGGGGTACTGACTGAGAGTTCATCACAGAGACTCTTAGAAAAGCACTAGTTGAGCCCCCCTAAACCCTTGGGATTGGGATTCCGGTTGGACTGAAGGAAGGAGACTACAGCTACGCCAGCCGATGCAGAAGAGGAGCGATATGTGAGTTTTGTGACACTCGGCTCTTGCTTTGCGTGATTTTTGGATTTCAGGTTTCGCGGCTATAGTTTCAACTAGTCCGTTTTCCGGGCTCTGTACTTCTATTATGATTACATATGTCTGTCGGGAGCACTTATCAGCGAGAAGCTCGGGCTTTGCCCTGCGCCCTAGACGAACCCAAAACCATGGGCTCTGCAGCCCTACTTAAAGGATCATGGGACTTAGTAACTGGGGTTATAAGTAAGGTAACTATAGTTACAATTACGTATAACCCAAGTTAAGGTACTTATAACCCTACTTACTAAGTCCCATGATCCTTAAACCCTAAACCCTATAGATCTCTTATAGAACCCTTTAAGGTACCCCATAAGGACTCTACTTACTCAGTCCCATGAACCTCCAAGTACACAGCAGCTTCTGCCGGAACGGCAGGAGAAACCTCCGCCTGCACCCCGAGATCTGGAGTTGATTCGGACCGCCGACCTGCCTGCTGCAGTGAGCTTTAGGCTGTTTCTGTTTAAGGAGCTACTATGGAGCCTGAAGGTCCCTCTGTTTCTGTTTTGGGGTCTTGGGCTTAGGGCGTAGGCTTCAGGTAATGGAAGCCTGCAACCAGGGAGTGCCGGGAATGCAGCTCCTGAAACATAAGCATTCTCGCCATCAGCCATCAACCATAGCGCTGCGCCACTTGTAATTATAGTTTCAGCTGGCGGTTTGATAACCCTAGACGGAAAACGCCGAGTAGAAAGTCAAATGCAGAATTCGGGGTTTAGGGTTTGGGTTTGTTCTGTGAGGCATGTTCTGCAATGCAGTGCCTGGCAAATTAAGACTGAAGAGTACTGACATGTTTGTGCTAGACATGTGCATTCGTGCAGCTTGAGGTATGTGCAGTACACATCCGCTATACGCCCTGTCCGCATAGGCATGCCGACGTTTTTTCCACACATGCGCGTTTCTCCCACGCGGCGAGGTGCCATGTTGTGTGGCACTGCAGTATCGCGAAGTCCCGGCCAACTGCAGTTTAGAGTTTAGTGACAATATAAAGCCTGTTAATATGTGGCTGTATACAACATGACATACAATTGGAATCCAATAAAACGGTAAGTAGCTAAGTCCCTCTCGGCCTCGACCGAAGCTTGATTCCGCAAAGAAGCGGCAGTCTCACGTAATTGATATTCGGCGTGAATTCAGCAGCCTCTGCCCTCAAACCTGAAGCCGTCGAATCGATTCCCTGAACCCTAAAACCCTAAGCCCTAAAAGCTAAGCCCTAAGCCCTAAGACCGAAACCCTAAACCCAAAACCCCTAAATCCCCTAATCCCTAAACCCTAAACCCCTAAATCCCCAAAACCCAAAGCCCTAAACCCTTACCTCCTCAGTTCCCCTCCCTGCTCGCAGGATGACCTTCAGCAACGCCCGACGTGGCCTGGCGATGGCAAGGCCTCATGTTTCCGGTTTGGGGTTTGGGGTGTAGGGTTTAGGGTGTTCGGGTTTGTCTAGGGTTCGGGGTCAATGGTTTAGGTTTCATACAGGGTTAGGGGTTAGGAAGTGGGTATCCTTAAGCCGAACACACGATGACTTGGATCCTGCATGTGAGACCTTTGCACCCCAAGCTTTGAGCGGATCGGGTTTTTTGGGTGTGAAGTGTTGAGTGGAGGGTTTATTTTTGGGGCGTGCCGTTGCAAGCCATACTTCTGTGTTTTTCGATTGGAGGCTCCCACGGAATTGTGAGGTCCATGGTGTGTGTGTGTGTTGCAGCCTAAACCCCCAAGAACCTGGACCTTAAACCCAAATGGCAGCGGGTCAAAACTTTCTGGTTTGTAACAGGGCCGGGGCGCCCCTCGCGCGACAAAGTTTGTAACAAAGATGGTTTTTTTGCGACAAGGCTGGCGCGACAAGGTCCCTCATATAGCATTGCCGCGCGACAAAGGTTTGTAACAAAGCCGGGGCGACAAAGGTTTGTAACAGGGGGGGTGGGGCCCCACGACAACACGGAGTATTGACCCATCCCCGAATGGGAGGTTCCGAACATAGGGGACCCTAATAGAGTAGCCTAAATAGTAGGATCCTTATTATAAGGACCCCAAAATAAGGTACCCCTAATTTTCGGACACTCCCAAATGCTCAATCCCCAAAGTACATACACCAAACTCAAACGCAGCGCAGACTCCCAAACGTGGACCCTGCTGATGCTCCAACCGCGATAGGCAAGAGAAGACCAGTCTCGCAACTTCAAGAGAGGTTTGAGGTTTGTGGGGCTTAGGGCCCCGAGAGCCCAAAGTTATCCTTAAGCAGAGTAGTTATAATATATAAGTTCTCAAGTACTAGGTTGCTTGTAGGGTTTGCAGGGTTTGCCAAACTCTATAGCCAAGACTGTTCCTTAACACATCTGGGGACCTTGCAGCTGAGTCGACGTCAACCGCTTTACGAGACATTTCGTGATTGTGCTTGGCCTTTGGGGCCCGGATGCTTCATCCGAAGACCGCAGGGTGCAGCATGCGAAGACCGCAGGGTGCAGCATGACACTGAGTTTAGCGTTTCGGGCCTCTTGAACCCCAAGCCGTCACAAGGCATCGGCGGGATGAGTTCTGTTTGCGTGACCAGGCGAATCGGGTTTCCAGTGCGTTTTAGGTTTGGGTGCCAGGCCACAGAAAAGCCCTACTTGGAGGATCATGGGACTTAGTAAGTGGGGATGTAAGTACCCTCCTTGGGGTTATAAGTAACTATACCTGTAGTTACCTTACTTATAACCCCAAGTACTAAGTCCCATGGATCCTTTAAGTATGCGGCTGATGAGAAACCGCAAGGGTAGACACTCCCAGCTCGGTCCCAGGCTCTTCAGCGTTCAGCGTGACCTCGAGTTACTTACTCTAGGATGGATTTTGGGACATTTTTTTGTTTTCTTTATTTGGGTTTATAAGGGACCCTATATGTAGATATTTTTCAGGGTGTTTAAAGGCCAACCCAGTATTATGGAAACTTTGACCAAAGCCCCTGCAGAAACCTTAAACAAAGGAACCCTATCTGTCCTCCACCCCCCCACCTGCCCCGAACCCTGAGCCCTTCCTTCCAGGGAGGCGATGTCATTGCAAATTGCACCGCGGCAGCCAGTGATGTGTGGAGCTGTGGTCTGCAGGATATAGGGTTGAGTAGCTTTCAAGGATTTCGTGATTTCGTGCTCCGAGTAGATCCCCGTTATCTGCCTCACATACTTGTGTGTGCATGTACGTATGATTGTATATCTGTGTCTATATCTAATTAACTATATGTATATCTATCTACCTATCTATCTAACTGTGTATATTATATATATATATATATATATACATCGTGAGCTCAACCTGTGTCACCTTTTCTTAATGAACTTGCTGCAACCATGGGCTGCGTCCGCCCTACGGATCACCACGCCCGAAAAGCGAGAAAAGCGAGATATGTATACATGCATATATAAGTATGTATATTTATATATATATGGATAGATAGATAGATAGATAGATAGAATGCACAGTATGTGTGCATGTATGTCTGTATGCCTGTATGCCTTTATGCCTGTATTCCTGCATGCCTGTATGGATGCATGGATGTATGGAACAGATTCGGATTCAGATATAGAGTGGCTTGGCTTAGTTTAACTTAGCTACAGTAAGCAGTTAGATGAGATAAAGTTAGATTTGACCAGGTTGTACTAATCCGGACTAGACTAGGCGAGATGAGATGAGGCTAGGTAGTTGGGTAGGTATGTACAGGAGGTAGATAGATAAGTACCTTGATTGATACGTAGTTACAGGGATAGGCAGACAGATATAGTAGACGTATGATGCGCGGTGTCTTCACTTTCAACTTATCTCCATGAGTAAAGTTGCTTATATTTGTCGTAAACACGCTATCTCACCGGCATTGACCTTAATCCAATGGCCCCCAAGCCCCGAATCCGAAAACCAAACCCCACACCCCTAAACCCTAAACCCTGATTGGCCCTAATGCAGGTCTCACCTTTCTTCCTCCTTAAGACGGTCATCAAGTCCTTGGGCAAAGCGGCTCTCATCATCAAGGAGAAGCGACGGGCCCTTTGGTGCAAGTTTAGGGCTTAAAGGGAACTCCAGAAAGTTGGAATATGGATTAATGGTAGGATCCCCTATAATTTACCTTAAAGGGGTTGCGATAATGATATTCCAACTTTCTGGCTTCTACTGTAGGGTTTCCGGTTTAGGGTTTAGGCACAGGTGAAGGGCTGCTGGGTTGACCAGCTGGGGGTTGATGACTTAGGGTCTATGTGGTGGGTGGGGTCTGGAGTCTTCTCCTCTTTGCAAAGGCTGACTTGCCGAAGTTCACAGAATCAAACTCCACCAAGTTTGTGACCTTAAACCCTTAACCCTTAACCAAGAGAGGTTTTGCAGGCTTCGCCTGGACTTCGGGCCTTTCAAAGTTGAAGACAAACGCCGAGTGTGGCCATTGCATGCCCACCATGAACCCCGGAATCAACTTCAAGAGAATGTAATCGTTTCAGAATACGATTTGGTTTGCTATTATACACACTGTATACCTTGGTAGAATACAAAAAGATACGCAATAAGACAATGTAGTGCAGAGCAACATAATGCACAAGAACATCTTTTCATGTAAAACAACGTAACGTAAGAGAAGGCCATGCATTTCCATATCATATCGTATCCTAGCATGTCATGTCCTATGAATGTTGTAGCATCATACCGCAGCACAACGCAACGTACCATGACATGCCATGCCATGCTATATCTTCTTATGTTATGCTATGTACATCATACCAGATTAGATGGGATCATCTCATCTCGGGTGGTTTGATATGACGTGGTATGTATGATACGGTATGGCTTGATAGGAATGTCCGGAAAAGCAGACACACACACAGCCCCGAACTTAACATGTCCTTGGCTGCGGAGCTGAGGCCAGAGGCTGGAAAATACTGCGGGTTTTTCTGGCGGCGAAAAAGAGGCAAGACTTCTTAAAGGCGCTTCTCGGCTCGATGTTGCATGGAGTAGGTAGATTCTAACATTGTGATTTATGTTGGTACTCTGCTTGCTGCGAGCTTTAGTCAAAATTTCTCGGTTGGGCTGCGCGGAAAATGTACGGTTCCCGGATCTAGGCCTCAACTGCGATTGCGGGTGAAGGCCTACTCCAAATTATCTTTGTGAATGTGGTGTATCCACGAGACTCAAAGATTCCGCAGAGTTAGGGCCCTCAGCCAAATTTTGACCTGGCGCGAAGACAGCCGATATGTTGATACGACCAAAGACAGTCAGAACGTCTTTGTTTACCCATGCTTTGATGCTGAACAAGGCATAAGCCTATATTTATATATATATATATATAATATGTATATCATAATATATATATATATATATATATATATATATCATGTTATAGAACCAGACGCACACCAAGAAGCGCCTCAGAAGCAGGGCCACTTCAAAGTACCCAGCATGTCCGCGAGCTTCTCGGGGCCATTTCTACCAAGCCTTA